TTAAATTATGCCCACGGCATCCTGTTCTCTGTGTCCTCTCTGTTGCTTTGTATCTTTGTTGGGTTTTTGGCTGATATTATCTTTCTGATTCTTACACATACATACACACCTGCTTGACCTCTGTATTTTCAGTCTGTTTCTAGGGGAATTTCCCAAAGTGCTCACAACAAGCTCTTATACTTTATAACAAAAGAAATACCCACAAAGATTACGCCTTGCTATGAGCTATAGTCAAACAAAACTTCCCTGGCCAGGTCCTTAAGCCCACATATGCTTTTGGTGAAAAAGCTCGCCTGTAAAGGTAAAGCATGATCTTTTTTTTTTTGGAACTGCTCTCAAAAATATATCTGCAGGGAGCTCTAATTAGCTTTTACCTCCATAGATGGGATGTTTTGGCTTTGAGATAGAATTCAGGTTGACTTAATTGCTTAGATCTTAAGCTGTGCAAGGCACGGCCCCCATGTGCTGCGTGCCTGTGTAGTACCTCGCAGCGCTGGAACCAGCCCGGCGTTCCTCAGCAAGACCTCAATGCAAATAATGAGTGCAGCTACATAAGAGGACACTGAGTGAGTCATTCTAAACCGCAAGATGTTTGGACTGCAAATAAAGAAAGATATGTGGGATATAATCTGCTGCCGAGTTTTAACACAATTCCTGTTAACTTTGAGCTATGCGTGGCCAGAACAATAGCAGGCTATAGATTTTGTTTCCTTCCCCAGCACTTTACTAAGTGCTGCGAGGCTAAAATGTTTTGAAGGTTATATCCAGCGTCCTGTGGAATGAATGACAAATGTCAACTCTTACACTCCTGCAAGATCTGAACGGGAATAAGACAACTCTATAGACTGAGGCAAGTTTATTATTACAAATACCTTATTAAATCTAAAGGGTAATGGCATTCCAATTAGCTCATTGTTAGGAATCTTTCATGTTTGACTTTCATTTAGACTGATTATGGGAATAATGCAGACCCTGTATAAGTAATTGGCACAAAATAAAAGCATTCGAGCTGCAAAAACCCTCCTAGAGGCTGCGCTCTTTAAAAAAAAATATATAAATAAAAGCTTCCTATCTTTCCCAGCTCACGAGTTCTCTCTGTTCACCATAATAATGAGACAACCCATTGAGCCTCCCGTGGGCCTGGCGGTATCGCAGTCCCTTTTACCTTCCCCTCTCTTTCCAGCAGCTGCAGGGGCTCCTTCTCTCCCGCCACCCCCACTCCCCTCGCCGCCCGTCTCGGCACGGTTCCATCGGCCCTGCCCAGCTGTGATTCTCTCACACCCAGATCAAAGTTGGGCCTCATCTCCCGCACCCTCCTCATCCTCCTCCCAGCTGCCATGCTGGGAGCAGCAATCGGCGGGAGCTTTATTTCACAAGGCAACCCAAGCTGGAGGTCTCCTTTTCCTCCATAGGGGAAGGAGCCTGGAGCAAGGTGCCCTCTCAGCCCCCTCTATCCATGGAGGTCCATCCAGGCTGGTGGCACGCAGCCCGTAGGGCACAGATCCCCACGGGACGAAACAACCCATTGTGAAACAAACCGGTTTTGGGAAAAGCATCCAAAACCACGGGCTGGAGCCTTGTTTCCTTACGTTAGGGGAAGTAGCAGTACGAGATGTTTGGTGAGAAGGCCACAAGCATTCCACCCTGCCAGACTTTCCTTCCTCCATCTCTGACTCATCCAGTGCCAGCTCCGTCCTGTTTCTGGGCACAGAGGCTGCAGTGAAATGTTTGCCATAGGAAGGGACACTGCTCTGGGTACACACCTGTGTTGCACCTGGCTCTGTGCCGGGGCCAGGCCCAGGACTATACCCCCTGCCCTGTCCCAAGCTGTGGTGGGGGCAGGAAGCCCAGCAGGTGGGCCAGGGGTCTGGCCGTACTCCAGCCCCTTCCCCGCAATGGGACGGAGCCAGGAGCAGCGCTCTGGATCACAGCTTGCTGGCAGGGCAGAGGCAGCATGTGTTAACCGTATGATGGAGCGCCAGGAAAGGTCTCTCCAGTGTGGGAAGGGGAAGGGCCAGCAGTTCCTATTTGGGAACTATTTGGCTTGTGCGGAGCTCTGGCTCCGTAGGGTGAGTGAGAAGCTGTGTGTGAGCAGCAGCTGAATTTTGGGAAAAGCTGGGGCAGCAGATAGCAACAGAAGGCAACAGTTCTGTAATACAGAAAGGCTGTGAAGTCCTCATCCTTGGAGGTTCTCAGGGCTCAGACGCAAAGCCATGATCCAGCCTGAATTCAGCGCTGACCCTGCTTTGAGCAGGAGCTCGGTGCAGAGATCTTCAGAGATCCATCTCAAACCTGTGTTTGAGGTTCTGTGATTGTGTGACCGAAGATGGATTGGGAACAGCTATTTTGCTCCTCTCGATTTGTTGAAAGCATTTTCTGTTTCTGGGCACAGAATCTCTTCCATCAGTGAAGGAGCAGCATTCAGTGGAGCCTATATCCCTGCGGTGCTGGGGCTCCCTGTGTTCACTGGGCCACTGCAGCCCTGCAGATGAACGTGATTACCCTTTGCAGTTGATCTTGTTCAGTACTTCTGAAGGGCTAGGGACCACCAGACTGCTGGCAGTGTGCCTGCCTTCTTTCCTCTTGCCCAGTGATGCTCCTGATGACATCAGGGGAGAGATTTCCATGTATTTCCATAGGTGGGTCAGGACCTGTAAGCCTATCTGATGCTCAGTGGAATCTCTGTGTTGGCTGGATCACGATCCCTATGAAAATCAGTAATTTTTTATTGAGTAATATTGGGTCTATCATAACCAGGCATCACAGTCTTGTTAGAAATTAAATACCTGTGGTTTGTTTGTTTGCTATTGTTTCTTTTTCTTTTTTTTTTCTTTTGTGTGTGTGTGTGTGATTCAAATAATGAATTAACTGGCTCCAAATGTTGCAACAGGTGAAATGACAAGCTATGGGCATATGCCTAAATAAAGCATACAGCTAAGCATGTGCTTAATTACTTTTCTGGACTAAATAAGGATACTTGACTAAACTGAAACAGAAAACTCTTCTGTAGCTGAGATATATAAACAGACCTGTACAAGAGAAGCCTGTATTGTGTGAATGAGAAATATTCCCATGGATGGCTAAGTTTTAAATTAACTCTGATTTTTATGGGACTCTTTGAACCAGAAACCACTGCAGAACTTTTAATACTAAGCTGGCAGTAATTTAGCCGTTGCTGTATTGTCAGGCATATTTATCCTGCCTTTGTATTTGTAACTGGTTTATATTTACTTGTCACATTAAAATAACCAAGAATTCACTTTTGTGTGTTTGAGCAATTCTGATGAGGTATGTGCAGATAAGAGCCTTGCTATCTGTCTGCAGTAATAAAGATGAAAAATCTGCTGACATCCCAAACAAGCTGTAAACCAGGGCATTTAATAATGCTCATTTTAATGCTTAAAATCTCTACGTTGTCATTGTAAATTAGGAACCTCAGGTTAAATCTTGAATGCATTGAAGTCATCTGCTGCAAAGGATCCAGAGGAGGTAACTGGCTTAATAGCTACAAAATCCTTCTGAATAACCCCCCTTACACTTCTGTCTATAAGGTTAACCAGAAAGGAAATTATGCAGAGTAAATTTTCTCTGTTTAAAACCCATAAGCCTTGCAAATTATATTTACATTTAATTAAAAAGTAGACACATTAGCCATTTTTTCTTTTCTATTCTTTTTTTTTTTTTTTTCTGATTCAACACCGGTTCAGAATTTCTCTACAAGATATTTAATGATAATCTTTTTATAAATGTTAAGATATTTAGACAAGGTTGCCTTTAACCCTGAGTCTTGATTTGTAAGCTTAATAAGTTTCCAGACATATTATTAACAAGTGTGGACAAAAAAAAAAAAAAAAAAATAGGAAGAAAAAGAAAAAAAGGAGCAAGTATAAAGCAAGTATAATTTGAGGTGTGTTAACAGTACTCAGGAGTCATACATTCAGGAAGAGGTGCACTCTCTCTCCAGCCCTTGAAATGTCTCATCTGCTTCAGAATTAAATCATTGCCTTATCTCAGATGTATATCCATGCTGTATCACAGAATATACGCTCTGTCAACACCCTAAAAGTTATGGCCAGAAGGATTAGTGATTTTCATATCTGGATTTTGACGTAAGTCTCCTCAAGAGAGAGCCTAGTTTGGATTGTGATTTCTTTGTTCATTCCATGCCTTCTGCTAAGAAGTGTTCTTAGTTGTGGGAAAAATAAGCAGAGCCTGCTGAACACTAAATTCCCAAAGCCAGCATGAATTCCAAGCACTGGTCAGTTACCCAGAAAATTCTGCACTGACCCGTTGCCTCCAAGAGAGCTGGATATGTGAAACAAACCCTGAGGAGCTTTTGGACCTTGTTTGATGGTGAAAGCAGACCACCAGGAAAACACTGTCCCCAAGCCCTACATTGTTAAATTATCACCATCTGAAACTAATCAAGCATTTTGGGGATCAAGGTAATAAAGTGTGGAGGCTACAAATGTATTGCTCATAGCAAACAAGTTCAAATGAGAGAGATGAACTAATCGGTCCAGGGGGAGGTAAATGAAAGAATTCTGATGATTATAGCTATTTGGAAATCCGTGGAGGGAGGATCCCCATGGCTAAGAAACATTTCCACACCTAGAATTTGTGGAGGATGAGGTTTTGGTGGTGACGAGTTCTTTGATGTCTTTTCCTTTCCCCGCCTATATCCAAGCTTCACTTCAGCCTCAACCAGCATCTTGCTCCCAGGTGAGGTTAATTCCTAGATTCTGTGGGGAGCTATCAGCCAACTTATTAAAAGCCTGTTTAATTAGTAATGATATTGCATTTTCACAAGGAAAGCATGTACACAAACGTCTGAAGTTGTGAATTACGGTAACAGAGGATAATCTACAGAGAGACAACAAGGGATATTAATTGCAGCGCCCAGACTTGCCCATGTATTGTGCTTAAAGCCATCTAAGTGATGAGTGTGCATGTGGGATATTTGACTAAAAGCCCTCTTAGGAGAAAATAGAATAAAGCAACAGAAATAAAGAGGGAGAGAAGAGGAAGGACAATTTTCTGACCATGTCACTGTGTTGATTCAGAGATCAATAATCTTCTGCTGGAGATGTACTTGCAAAAACAAGCCAGGAGGTTTCCCTGCATAATGCCACAGCACAAACTTGCACCAGCATTATCTTACAGGTCTGTGCTGCTCACCCAGGAGCCTACATGATACCACACACAGTCAACATTATATAGTTCCCAAATGAAGGTCATTTACCCTAATGTCAAATGGAATTTCTTTTGTTCCTTGACAAAAAGTGTCCAACTCAGAATAAAGAGACAACAAGAGAAGCAAAATGAAGTTGAACAGTCTGCATATGAAAAACATATCTGAATGCTTTGAGCATTTTCAGGCCTGAAGCTGATGTTCCTCTGTGGCAAAAGGAGCTGAAGGGTACCATGGGATCACTGAATCTTTCTCTGCGTAAATCACAGCAAAGTCAGAAATGTTTGGAAAAGACCTGACCTTAGCAGGGTGAGGGTGGCTCTAGTTGTTTGTAAATTAAGCACAACACTCACACTTCAGCTACTGTTTAATTAGGAAAATCAACATATTTGATGAGAAATATTATAACAAAATAAATTTTTAGCAATAAAATATCTGGATGAGTATTTCCTAAATTTCTGTCATTTTCCCAGTATTGCAAATGCTGCATTATTGCTTTCCAGAAATTCTTACTGCTTTGTTTCCAAAATGTCCTGAAAAGATTCATACTTTTTCTTCTCTTCCCATTTACAGTGTGAAGGCCCATCTGTGCTTTCTGCTGCAAGCTACAAAACCAGAAGTTTCCTTGTCCTGGAAAGGGTGATTTTTATCCAAGATCTTAAAAGAGGAGTGAGCCACGTGACTGTAGGGATGCAGTCCAACCGACTCATGAGGGGCTCAGCAGAGGGAGATGAGGCACGTGGTAGGTAGTGTCTCAGTCCTGTGGTGATGGAGAGCTTCCCATGGGATCGCATCAGCGCTGATGCTATTGGTGAGTGAATGCAGTTGGATGAGTCACAGCTTGTAAGGGAGATCCAGATCCTTGCAGTTACCCATCTCCATCAGTCCTAAAGCCTTGGAGCAGTGTAGGCTATCACGTCCATCGATTTCAGAGGGGCTGAACACCATAACATGTCTCCCTATGGATTTCTGAGCAGATGTCTTGAATGCCAACCTCTGAAAAACAAAATGGGCGACTTTAAGATAACCCAGAAAAGAGGAAAAGGGGACAATATGAGGTCATCAAGAACAAATAACCACACAGAGCACTAGGCTTGCCCAGGTATACAGCTCACTGAAGCCAATGAAAAGATCCTTCACGGTTTCAGCAGATCAGACCCAGACTTTTTGGCTGAGCAGGCTGGAGTTCTGCCTGCCTCCTGCCTCCTCCCAGGGTGAGTGAAAAGCAGCCCAGAGACAATAAGGCAAACCCGCCCTTTGATTTAAGCAAGGCTTGGCCAGGGCCCAGTGCAAGCCTCTGATGAGATCCATAGCTGTAAGTGACTTAGCCTGTGTCAGAGTGCAAATGACATCTCCGCCTGCCACGTGCACACCCTGCAACAGTAAAGATGTCATTAGATACTCCACATCTGAGGCAGACCACTTTTGCCAAACCTGGCCCCATAGAATTTGGCACAACTTACAGAGATTAACCTATTAGTATTTATTATCGTTACTATTCAATATCGTTCTCCAAATTGTCAACAGGGGAGTAGAGAATGCGGGTAACCTGCAGGCCAATGAAATTTCAGGAGGAGAAAACTTCTGAGCTTCTAGAGCTGTTTCTCTCCCCTTGCTTTCCATGGAGCATGCCTGGCTGGCTGAGCCATGCGTGGAGCTAGGGTGACAGCCTGTGGCAAAACAGAAGAATTTCAATGTATTAATCCTTTTGATTTCCACTTTCTTTTGATCTTTTCTCCACTTCCTGCTTGTCAGGCCAGACAAAGGTAGTGAAGTTTGGGTCGCTACCATCAACACAGCTTTGAAGGATGGACAGTTGCCAGCCTTTCACCCTCTTCTTTCTCCCCTCTCATTTTTATCTCTTTACCTATCAGGCGCTGCATTTAACAACAATTTGTTTGACAAGAAGTTCTGTGCCATGGGTGCTATTAGAGCCATGTCGTGGCAGGGTCTTCTGGTTGGCAGGGCAAAAATCAACTTTCTTAAGAGCAAAGCAGCAGCCCTCTATAACGAATATTCCTAATAACAGATGAAGCATGTTTTAATCCCCTCAAACGTTTATTCTGGGTCAGAGTTTGCTGCTGCTGCTGCTTCTTCCCTTCTTCCTCTTGAGCAGTAGAGGGCTTTATTATTACTATTTTTTAAATCTATATTCTTTCTATACTCTACCCAAATTAATCAAATAAATTTTCTTTAAAGCGACACTAAATGAGTTACAGATGGTTTTGCCCTTTTACAGGTTGCAGAAATCACCCATTACAGTTCTTTTAATTTATCAGTGAGGGAAAATAAGATGGCCTCTTGCTCCCTTGGCAGTAATAATCAGAAACAGTCTATTTGGAGTTTAATTTACCCCAAATACATATTGATATTTGCAATGAGGAATATGTGACCTCTCTGGGAGTCACCGATGGATGGAAGGTGGATAGCTTTTATAAAACCACCTTTAATAAAAAAGAGTGTTATATTGAGTATGTTTGGTGGTGTATTTAAGCATATGGTTTCCATATCAGGAGCTAAGATGGCAAACACATGCTTTACCTTCTGAGTAACCTTTCTAGTACTCCTCAGTCCTCACAAGAAAGAAAGCTACGAGGGATTTTTTTATTTTTATTTTTTTTTTCTATTTTACAATGCTGATTATATGGAAAAGCCGAAGAAATTTCACAAGGAATGCAAAACTTGTGCCTCATCTGCTTTTTTCTTTTTTTGCCCATATAAAGAGAGGATGAGATTGAAATCTGTCCATGGGCTCCACCGTGTCCTCTTGGTGGGACCCAAAGGGAGACTGATCCTCACTACCTCAGGGCCAATTCTCACAAGTGGATCCTCTCCTGCAGCTCCTGGCACTGTAACTCCTGCCCAGGAGACAGGAACAAGGGCATGAGATAGGGCTGGCTCTGGAGAAGGGCTGCCTTGCTCTGCCAGTGATAAATCTAGTGGTCCCCTTGCTTTTTCATCACTTGCCTAATCCCGTGCCCTCCTTTTCATGTGCTGTAATTGCTCCCAGCTGCTCCCACAGCCCAACTGTGTGGAGATTGTGAACGAGGCCCCGCAGAACAATGGCAATGGCTGCTCCATGTTGCCTCTGGCCTGTGCCTCCTGCAGTCCACATCTGCCCTGCTGTGTCCCATTTGGGGAGCGGGCTTTTCCCCCTGACCTTGCTCTATGCTGAGGAGGGTCCTTGGGGGCACAGTGCCCCTGAAACAATAACAAATGTTACGAGAAAAAAGCAAAACAATGACAACTTTGCCATCACCAAGAAGAGAGCAGCCCTCAGGTGTTGGTCCTCTTAGGCCCTGAGGTGACCAGAACCTTCAGCCCTTCGCCTTCCAACATGAATTCTTCCTCCCCTCCCCAGCCTTTTTTCCACCTGAGAAAGGCTGCATTCTTTCCCAAGTTAACTGTATCTTTCTGGGTTGAATCAGGCATATCTCATTAGAGGGGTTTAATGTGAACTTCAAGCTGCTGCCTCCATGCTACAGAAAGGAGATTCCTAATCAGCATAGTATATATATTCTGTAATTGCTCTTTGACATTCCCTGTCTTTTCTGGCTAATTTCAGTGAAAGAAAACTGTGGTGAAATGTTCCAGTGTGTTTTCATTGGAACAAAAAAAAACCCTTGTGTTTCTAAATGCAGGGTTACTTAAACGGTCCAGAGAGCCAGCTGTTTTCACAGGTACACTGCTGAAATGTAGTACTGATTTTTTTCTTTCTGAAGTGAGGCTGCAGCCAGGGAGCAGCTCTGGGAGGCAGCACAGGAAAGCAGTTCCATCTCACAGCGTGACAGCTAGACCAAGTCATTTCAGATTAAAACACCTGGTTTCACAGTACCTTGAATACCCAATCTATTTTTAAAACTCAAGATTATTTAAGTCAGACTTTGACTTTTAAGTTCCTGATTTCTAGAGGTGACCCCGCCACAGCTGTTACAGAGGTGGGATTTGCCACCCTGCCCCTGTTTTCCAGACAGGTGGTGGACGTCCCATCCCTGGAGACATTCAGTGTCAGTCTGGATGAGACTCTGAGCACCTGATTGAGCTGCAGGTGTCCACTGCAAGAGAGTTGGACCAGATGACCTTTAAATCTGCCTTCCACCTCAAGCCATTCCATGATTCTATGATTATTCTCACGGTTTCAGGAACTCTGCCTATAAGATGCCTGTGTGCCACTTCACCTTATTCTTGCAATGTGATTTTTCTTGTATTTTTTACTCAATAACACCTCTCTGCAAGTTTTCATTATTTGTTCTAGAGGTAGTACTAAAAATATCTCCTTTTTTTTTTTTTTTTTTTTTTCCCCTCTTCCTGAGCATTTTTTATAAGAGAGCAGTTTTATTTCTTGCCCTGAACCCAATCTCACTGGAAGGGCAGGAAGGAACATGCTCACCTGTGTGTCCTATCCCCACTCTCCACTGTCTAATTTTGTCTCTGGTGCAGTTTCACTTCTGCTGGATGACACGTGAAGGCCATATTCCAGAAGACCATCTGAGCACAGAAGTACTTCATTGGCTCAAGTGAGACATGTCTCTGCACATCACACATTCCCTGTTAGGAATCAGGTCAATTTGCACCAAACTGGAGAAACTCCTAAAATTGCAGATCATGCCCTTTGCTACAAGGCTGCCATCCCCTTCCCCCTTCAAAACTGCTGAAACGTATGAAACAGCAGCTGCTGAATTTATTTTCCCTTTACACAGCCTCTTTCCAGTGGAAATTGGATTGATTAGTACCCATTTGCTGGGTTCTGCTGCATTATGACACTAACATGTGGCATCATTTCAAACCAGGTGGGATTTTCTTTAAAACAATCTGTGGTGACCAAAATAAATAAATAAATGAATAATGCAGTTTTAGCTAAGCAAAATGCATTTTAATATGCATTTCCCACAGCCCTGACGTGAGATCCATCTTCTAAGTGCAGTACACCAGCTCATGTCAGCAGTTAGATTTGATGATCCTTATGGGTCTCTTCCAAGTTGGGATATTCTATGACTCTACGATTCTGTTGCTGCGCTCACATACCACATGCAGCAGCCATCTGCAGCCTGAGCTTCTCCTCCTGCCCCATCATGACATCCACCCGAGCTGGAGCAACCCCCCCAGCCCTACACCTCACAGCCCCATCACACTGCATCCCCGTGCACAGTGGTGGAAGGCGAGGGAGAGGCTTCAAAGGCACTGGTCGCACAATGGAGTTGGAGTAACTAGCTGCTGACAGATTTATAGGCTTCAGTCCAATTAAAGTGCTGTTTATTGCTTTTAGAAGGGGCCTGTTTGTTTCTAATTTTAGAAGTAGGTTGGGGAAGTGACTGGAATTGTGAGTATGGGACCTGAGATTTTTCACTAGGGCTGCTGCTGCTATTAATCAATAGGTGTTGCTGATAATTATTTAGCCTGAGATCTCAACCCACCATGGCAGGGAAGAAATTCAGGGCAGCACCCTGCAGCAGTGCTTTGCTTTGTCCCCTGCCCTGCTACATCTGTTGATTTTGGTATGTGTTTGACCAGCCACTTTGTAAAGAGCTCCCCTTGTCCCCCATGCATCTCTTCTGCTCTCTCAAGTTCATTCATTTTATGTGCTCCTTTCAAAGAGAATAAGAAGCATGCTGGTGTGGATGATTGTCCCTATCTCCGGCCAGCAGTGATAGGAGCCTTGGGCCAGTTGCCAGAAGGAAGTGGAGAAAATAACACATTTTGCCTGAGCGATTAAATCAGAGCTGGAATCAGGATTCCTGTGCTGTGCCCATAAGTTTGTGCAGTTTTGCTGTTCAGTGGTGGGAAGCCCCTTTGATGTCAGTTTCCCACTGT